TCTTGATGAGGTTTTGGGGGGCTGAGGGGGTCCTGAGGGGGTTTTGGGGGCGTTCGGGGGGTCCTGAGGGGGATTTGGGGGGAATTTGAGGGGTCTTGAGGGGGTTTTGGGGGGTCCTGAGGGGGTTTTGGGAGGGCTTGGAGATCCCTGAGGGGCTTTGTGGGGGCCTCAGGGACTTTTGGGGGTTTTTGAGGGGTTTTGGGGGAGCTTGGGGGGGTTTGGGGGGTCTCGAGGGGCTTTGGGGGTCCTGGGGGTTCCTGAGGAGGTTTGGGGGATCCTGAGGGGCTCTGGGGTGTCCCAGGTGCTTTTTGGGGTGGTTTTTGGGGTGTTTTGGGGTGATTTTGGGATGATTTTTAGGGTGGTTTTTGGGGTGATTTTTAGGGTGGATTTTGGGGTGGTTTTTGGGCTGTTTTGGGGTGATTTTGGAGGTGTTTTTCGGTGGATTTTGGGTGGTTTTTGGGCTGTTTTTTGGGGTGTTTTGGTGTGGTTTTTTGGGTGTTTTTGGGCTGTTTTTTGGGTGGTTTTTGGGGTGTTTTGGTGTGGTTTTTTGGGTGTTTTTGGGCTGTTTTTTGGGTGGTTTTGGGGTGTTTTGGTGTGGTTTTTGGGGTGACCCCCCCGTGCCCCCCAGGCCCGCGCTGGCGGCAGTTTGGGGGGGCGGTGCTGGGGGCGGGGCTGGCTCTGCTCACCTGCGGCCCTCACCTGCTGCACTCGCTGGCCACCGCCCTCGGCACCTGGGCCATCCTCGCCCTCCTGCCCAGGTGAGCCCGGGGGGGTCCTGGATCATCCTGGGGGGTCCTGGATCATCCTGGGGGGGTCCTGGGGGGTCCTGGATCATCCTGGGGGGTCCTGGATCATCCTGGGGGGGTCCTGGGGGGGCACCTGGGCCATCCTCGCCCTCCTGTCCAGGTGAGCCTCACCTGTGGGGAGGAGATGGGACATCCTGGGGGGGTCCTGGGCCCTTTTTGGGGGACCCTGGCCCATCCTGGGGGTCCCCAGGTGCATTTTGGGGGGGGGGGTTTGAGCCCTTCTGGGGGGGTCTCTGAGCCATTTTTGGAGAGTTCTGAGTCCTTTTGGGGGGTCCCTGACCCATTTTGGGGGGGTCCTGATCCATCCCGGGGGGTCCCTGACCCATTTTGGGGGTCCCTGACCCATTTTGGGAGGGTTCCAGGTGCATTATTGGGGGTCCCTGACCCATTTTGGGGGTCCCTGAACAATTTTGGGGAGGGTCCCAGCTCTATCAAAAAAGCATTAATTATGAAATAATTTTTTAAAAAATTAATTAAACCATTAAATAACGCCAAATTAATTGAATTAATAAAGAAAAAACATTTAGAAATAAAACCTTGATGAACAAGGAACATTTACAAGCAATTAAGCTTAATTACTCAGCAAAACTATAATCAATAAATCCAATTATAAACGAAAACAGCAATAAATAAGTAAAATTTTAAAAGAATATATAAAATTAATTAAAAATAAAATTGATTCCTAATTAAAACGTTAATTAATGAATGAAATTTCCCCTCCAGGCACTCGGGGGGGGCCGCCCTGGCCTGGAGCTTCGGGTACCTCCTGTTCTTCCGCACGCCCCGGCTCTGGGGGCTGCCCGAGCCGCCGGCCTTCGCCAACGCCCTGCAGCTCCTCACCACCCTCAAGGTGTCCTGGGGGGGTTTTGGGGGTCCTGAGGGGATTTGGGGGGTCCTGGGGGGGATTTGAGGGATTTTGGGGGGGGTCCTCGGGAGGTTTTGGGGGATGCTGGGGGGATTTGGGGAAGTTCTGGGGTTTTTTGGGGAGGTTTAGGGGGTCCTGGAGGGATCTGGGAGGGTCCTGGGGCAATTTGGGGGGCCCTGGGGGGGTTGTGGAGGTTTAGGGGGTCGTGGGGGGTTTTGGGGAGGTTTTGGGGGTCCTGGGGGGTTTTTGGGGAGGTTTAGGGGGGATCCTGGGGGTTTTTGGGAGGGTCCCGGGAGGATTTTGGGGGTGTTCTGGGCGTTATAAAAGGTCTTCGGGGGATTTGGGGGGCGTGGCCCGATGGGCTCCACACCCATATATGGCTGGGTGGGCGTGGCCTCACCGTGGCCCCGCCCCCTCCCACAGATGGTCAGCCTGGCCTGTGACGTGCAGGAGCTGCGGGAGGCGGGGCTTAAGGGGGTGACGTCAGAGGAGACGCAGCTGATGATTGGCTCGCTGCGGCGGGTGCCGAGCTTGATTGACATCCTGTGCTACACCTACTGCTACCTGGGGCTGCTGACAGGTGGGGGCGGGGCCCAAAGGGGGCGGGGCCAAGGGGACACCTGGGTGGGGATTCCCTGGATTTGGGGATTTTGGGGGTAATTTTGGGACTTACCTGTGTCAGCTGTTCCCTGTGCATCACCTGTGTCTTACCTGTACCTCACCTGTTACCTGTAGCTTACCTGTGACCTGTACCTCACCTGTTACCTGTCTCCTCTCACCTGTATCTCACCTGTTACCTGTCTCACACCTGTTTCTCACCTCTCACCTGTCTCACACCTCTCACACTTGTCCGTCACACCTGTCCCTCACATCTGTCTCTCACGTGTTACCTGTATCTCACCTGTCTCACACCTGTATCTCACCTGTTCCTCACCTGTATCTCACCTGTCTCACACCTGTATCTCACCTGTTCCTCACACCTGTATTTCACCTGTATCTCACCTGTTCCTCACACCTGTATCTCACACCTGTATCTCACCTGTTCCTCACACCTGTATTTCACCTGTATCTCACCTGTCTCACACCTGTATCTCACCTGTTCCTCACACCTGTATCTCACCTGTATCTCACCTGTATCTCACCTGTCTCACACCTGTATCTCACACCGGTCACCTGTCGCTCACACCTGTCCCTGTTTTTGGCAGGCCCGTTTTACCACCTGGGCACTCACCTGGACTGGGTCACACCTGTCACTCACACCTGTCACCTGTCACTCACACCTGTCACCCGTCACTCACACCTGTCCCTGTTTTTTGCAGGCTCATTTTACCGCCTGGGCACTCACCTGGACTGGGTCACACCTGTATCTCACACCTGTCACCTGTCACTCACTCACACCTGTCCCTCTCACCTGTCACACCTGTCCCTCTCACCTGTCACCTGTCACACCTGTCACTCACACCTGTCACACCTGTCACCCGTCACACCTGTCGCTGTTTTTGGCAGGCCCGTTTTACCGCCTGGGCACTCACCTGGACTGGGTCACACCTGTATCTCACACCTGTCACCTGTCACTCACTCACACCTGTCCCTCTCACCTGTCACCTCTGTCACCTGTCCCTCTCACCTGTCACTCACACCTGTCATCTGTCACTCACACCTGTCACCCGTCACACCTGTCCCTGTTTTTGGCAGGCCCGTTTTACCACCTGGGCACTCACCTGGACTGGGTCACACCTGTCACTCACACCTGTCACCTGTCACACCTGTCACCTGTCCCTCTCACCTGTCACTCACACCTGTCACCTGTCACTCACACCTGTCACCCGTCACTCACACCTGTCCCTGTTTTTTGCAGGCTCATTTTACCGCCTGGGCACTCACCTGGACTGGGTCACACCTGTATCTCACACCTGTCACCTGTCACTCACTCACACCTGTCCCTCTCACCTGTCACACCTGTCCCTCTCACCTGTCACCTGTCACACCTGTCACTCACACCTGTCACACCTGTCACTCACACCTGTCGCTGTTTTTGGCAGGCCCGTTTTACCGCCTGGGCACTCACCTGGACTGGGTGTGGTCCCGCTCCCCTCCCCCGTCGCTGCGCCGGGCGCTGCTGCACCTGCGCTGGGTGCCGGCGCTGGGCGCGGCGTGCGCGCAGGTGAGCGGGGCGTGGCCGGCGCGGGCGGCGCTGGAGCCGGGGTTCGGCGCGCGGGCGTGGCCGCGCCGGCTGGCGCTGATGGTGCCGGTGTTCCTGGCGCTGCGGCTGCGCCTGTACGTGGGCTGGCTGTGCGCCGAGGCCGGCTGTATCGCCGCGGGGCTCGGAGCCTACCCCAGGTGCGCCAACGCCCGCCCCGGCCGCGGGCCCACCGCCAGCTGGGAGTGGCCAGACAGGTGAGAGGGGGGGACACCTGGGGGTCTCTGTTGTCACCTGGGGTCACCTGGGGACACCTGGGGGTCTCTGTTGTCACCTGGGGTCACCTGGGGACACCTGGGGGTCACCTGGGGGTCTCTGTTGTCACCTGGGGGTCACCATTGTCACCTGGGGGTCACCTGGGGACACCTGGGGTTCTCCACTGTCACCTGGGGTCACCATTGTCACCTGGGGGCTACCTGGGGGTTACCTGGGGTCACCTGGGGGTCTCTGTTGTCACCTGGGGTCACCTGGGGGTCACCTGGGGTCACCATTATCACCTGGGGTCACCTGGGGGTCACCTGGGGGTCTCCATTGTCACCTGGGGTTACCCGAGGGTCACCTGGGGTTACCTGGGGTCACCATTGTCACCTGGGGGTCCTCAGTGTCACCTGGGGTTACCTGGAGTCCCTATTGTCACCTGGGGGTCACCTGAGGGTCCCCTTAGGTCACCTGGGTGTTCCCTGGGTGTCTCACCTGTGTCCCCTGGGTGTCCCCTGTGTGTCCCCCCTGTGTCCCCCGTGTGTCTCACCTGTCCCACCTGTCCCAGGGTGTCCCCCGTGTGTCTCACCTGTCCCACCTGTCCCAGGGTGTCCCCTGTGTGTCTCACCTGTCCCACCTGTCCCAGGTGCGCTGACATCCCCGAGGATCAGTGGGATTTCGAGACGATCCGCACGGTGGATCCGTGGGGTCCCTGTGTCCCCCCTGTGTCCCCTGGGTGTCCCAAGGTGTCCCCCCTGTGTCTCACCTGTCCCACCTGTCCCAGGTGCGCTGACATCCCCGAGGATCAGTGGGATTTCGAGACGATCCGCACGGTGGATCCGTGGGGGACGGAGCTGGGCCGGCGGTTCCGGGGGGGGCTGCGGCGCTGGAACATGACGGTGCAGTGGTGGCTGGCGGCCTACGTGCACCGCAGGGGACCCCGGCAGCACCCCCTGATCCGGTACTGG